CCCCCCCCCCCCCCCCTCCTTCAGGGCCCCGCGTCTTTGCTGGCATTTGTTCCCTTCTCCAATCGATGTGGGACTCACCAATCCACCCCCTTTCAAGGCCCAACGTCCTTGCTAGCACACCGCCTCTTGTCCACCCCCTTTGGTGCTCAGCCTCCTTGTTGGCACATCGCCCGGTGTCTAGCTCTGACACCATTTATAATAGTCCAAACCCACCACCAACCGATATTGTCCTCTTTGGGATTTCCCTTTCAGGCTTCCCCACAAGGTTTTTAAAACGTGTATGCTAGGTAGAGGTTTCCACACCCTTATAAAGAATGCTTCGTACTCCTCCCCAACCGATGTGAGATTTCGTAGCTCAGCCGGCAACTCCTCGATGCAAACAAATGAAAGAAAATGAATACATCCAATAAGACATGACCTATATCAAATATAGAAGAGACCACAGATTAAAAGGAAAACAATGGATAGTTTAAGAATACAGCAGGATTTTGGTATGAGCCGACTAGTCATAAGTGGATGCTATTAGCTCTACCTAGTTTCCCCCATCAACCTACGTTTCTACAACATTGTATGGGAAAAATGGAAAATAGTTAGATTGGCAGCTCACTGCGACATTTACCTCAAGAATCTTCCATTTTCACTTGATATTCATCAATGGTTTGCTTCATTCCATCCAACTTCGAAATCATGTATTCCAGTTTCTTGCAGCAAAGTTCATTAGTAATCCTTGAACTATAATCACACTTCTCGAACGGACGATATTCACACGCACTTTTGATTTCATCCCGCAACGTAACTTGGATATCCTGATTTCAAGGAGGACAAAATGTTTCACATTATTCCTCAAATATAATTCAAAGATTTAGGTGAAATATAGGATTGCATTGACTTGACACTTTTGATAAAGATGCCCCATCTTTGAACAGTACTAAAAAAGCATACCAGCCACACAACAATTATTCTTTAATTATTCTCTACAATCTGCTAGGAACCCGGTTACGTGAGCCAAATGGTAACAAATTGAGATATCAATCAGCAATAATATCCTTCCTCGACACTCCCGACTCCTAACCGACTCAACTAACAATCTAACGAGAAATTAACTGTCATTACGTAACGACCACCAAAATCCCGAATACCCAGTGATACTGAACACAATCATTCCACATTTTTTCTGGCAGGAACCAGAAACGGGGGAGAGCACTTTTTGTAGTAAAACTTTATCTGAACTTCTGATCGGACTAAAATTAATATAATAATATTCTTTAAAAACAAAAACTAATCAAAGTGAAGTTGCCATGAAATTCTTCCTCTATCATACCTTCCCGATCAAAGAGAAACCATGTTGCTAAAGCAAATGCGAAAGTCCTGAAAAATCGACTCCAAATGAGAAAAGCAAAAGGACAATTCCACATAAGATAGTCAAGATCATCCTCCTTTCCAACAAACACACTATTGCTGATTCTACACTAATGATGAATGTCTTTCAAGATAATCTTGCGTGTTCACTCTCCCTTCAGAGCTAGCCAAGAATTTCGCTTTTTAGGAATTTCAACCTACTAAAGAGAGGAAAATGCAGAGGTACCCAAGAAGGGAGAGAACAAATAAAATGAAAAAACGTTACAGGAGAAACCCCGTAACACCTTAGGAGCCGAATACTTGGAATCCTTTCTCCCATGATGGAAAATGTGATCAGACACGAGAGAAATGTGCTTAGTATTAGGAAAACCAGAAGTAATTTTAACCTAAGGTTCCATGTGACCACGCAAAAACCCAGGTCACTGTGACAACCCCAACCATTGACCACCGTGCGACAACCAACTACCAACTGACAAAGAGATCTACATGAACAAAGTTTCCGACAAGTCTTAGCAGCTTTTCAAGTTGTTTTCCTGACTCCACTCTCTCTATTGCCAACACTCCAAGTGGCCTCTGAAGTGAAACAGAGTATATCATCAACTAGTCTCGACCACACGACAACCCCGACCACCTGCAACAACCCCAACCGCAGTGGAATAATCAACTTCCAACCAACAGAGTCCCATGTGAACAATTCTTCCATCACAACCCCCAACCTCTCTACGTTTGTGATCTCCACTAGACGCCCAACAATCTACTCAAACCACTACAAGGCTCAACGAACAAAGCTGTTTTTTTGTTGAATATCCGGTAAACTCGCAGTGCAACTTAATCTAGAGATGTCCATGAGGAGGGGCGGGAACAGGGAAGACTTCCCATCCCCATGCCCACCCCCTTTTCATTCAACATCCCCGTGAAATTCTCCATTTATTTTTTCAAAGATTATCGAGGCGAGGAATCCCCCACGAGGATTGTGCAGGGATCAAGTTCCCCACAGGAAATTTTATCTCAACTTTTTATTGTCTTCAAAAAATGGTTTTTCTGAAGAAATTTTTGTAATGCATAATTTCCATTTTCTGATATAGTTTTTATTAAAAATGTAAACAAAAATCTTATATATGTTCTACTAACATCATTTCTAATCAAATTTTAGTATTACAACATAAACTTCCACACACACACACACACACACACACAAAAAAAAAAAAAAAAAAAAAAAAAAAAAAAAAAAAAAAAAAAAAAAAAAAAAACC